CACTTTCTTATTTAATCATGAGTATATATACCATGTAGGATAGAGCCGGACAGTCTTGACTTAGTGTCGATTTGAGAATTTGCAAGAATTAATTTCGCTTATGATGCTGTCCGTCACATGCTGAACAAATCTCACCCCAGTTTCAAACCGAGTTGAGGGAAGATATTTGGTAGACTGCGGCAAAGTGAAAATCATAGTTAAGCCAAACGGCTGCAAAACTAAGGGATTCGAATGTCGCCTTTCGGTGAGATCAACCAACATCTTTCTGTATTATGCACTTTTTGCACGAAATGAATGTCTTAGTTGTTCTATGCTAGGCCTTGTTTGAACAGTGACTGTGTGGAATTAGAAAACTGGAATCTCAGACGCATCATTGAATAAAAATGATTCGACTCGGTTTGTACTAATTAATTTTTGCTTAATTAAAAAAGATAGGCATGCTCACCTGGACCAAAACATCCTTATTGTCAAAGTATACTTCTTTATTAACGACAAATTAATTGGGAATGTCGCCATCTGTCTGAGTGGTGCATGCGAAACTGGCGACAGCCCAACTCTTTTTCGTAGACTGCATAGTATAGACTTAAATTCTGTCTTGTATAATCCTCAACTGGACCCTAGCTACCGGTTTGTTCGAAACCGGATCATGGGCGAGAAGCAGGGCATTCTGCTGCCAAGACAGGACCTGTGCTATCATATGCAAACTGGCGGTTTGGGGTGAAATCGGCATGACAACCTTTCAGATCGGCTTTCCGTTGAATGAGGCGATGTGGTGAAACGGTAGGAAGGTGGAGGGTATGAAAATATGAGCTCCGATCAGTAGATCTCCATGCCAACATGGGAGGGAAAGAGGGGGTTAAGCGTCCGACAAGAGCCTATCATAAATTCACAGACTATCGATTCATACGAGAGGTATCAAGGCAATCTGTTTGCTGAGGTTGCGGCCAGTCGGTAGAATGCCTCAGCAGCAATGCGTGAGTCAGACGATGGCAATTGTTATTGCTTCTGCCGTTAACAGGTCGGGCAGAGGATTGTGGTTCTTCTGAGTAGGTGGGACGAAAAAGGCTTGTGTCTACAAGCCAACCGTCATGGCGGTTACGTGATTGAGGCGAACTGACAGCCTTCGGCTTTGCCGCCTGAGCAGAGGTATGAAAGAGACAGTTTGATGTGGATACAGACTAGAAACTTTGCCCAAATACACACACACACACACACACACA